GAGTGAGACTCCAACTCAAAAAAAAAAAAAAAAGCCACAAAGAGCGGGTCTGGGGCATCAGCAGGAGAAGCTGAGAAGGGACAGGAATGGAAACATGAGCTGCCCACTGTGTCCACTGGACCAGAAGCACTGCCCGAAGAGATTCTCTAAGCACAGTGATTCTCTAAGCACAAGACTTCTGGGGGCCCTGGATCACATTGCTCCTACCATCACCAAATAAACCTAGAAAACAGGGTCCCTTGGGGGGAATGATGGGTTTCTCCTGCTTCTGTGTCAGCTGGTTCTTGTGGAGGAAATGCATCAGCCTCGGGGCAGAGAGAATGGCACATGACAAGGATGAGAGCTTATGCAAGGAGTTCTCATCCCATGGTAAGATGGCCTCACCAGGTGGGCCACCAACTCTGCACATGCCATGGCGCAGCACAGGTTAAAAAGTCCTCTTACAATCTTCACCTTAGCACCCTCTCCCTCTGTACAGGGACATTATTCCCTGCGTTTTAACGGAGAAGAAACAGAGGTCCTCAGTTCATCATGGGCAAGGCTTCTGATCTCTCTAAGGTCTCTTTTATCCGATTGCCTCAGATTTCATGGGCTAATGTTCCAAGAAGCAGCTCTTGGATTTCAATCTTACTTCTGAAGTTGACTGGCACACAGCCAAGGGCACAGGGGACCAGGCCATTGGGTGACGCAGGCACCTCCAACACATCACTAACTTGGAGGTAAGACCGGAGGCCACTCTGAGGCAGGGCAGTGAGTGTCCTAGACCCTTGTCCCTTCCTCACGGGGAGCTGATGCTGACCAAATATATTCATGGGTACTGCCAGTGCCCTGTGCAGAGGCTGCAGGAAACCTCTATAAATGCCGGTGTCTGGTTCTGAGTCCTGGAGCTTCCACAAGTTTCTCTGATTGACCTCACATGCCTACAACTAAGTCACTTTGCCCAAATTGTATGGATTTGGCCTGTGTAGAGTCTTGTTCCTAACCTCCATGGTCACCTGGAGACACATACCAGAGGGGATATGGCTTTTTCTCCCCTTTAGAAATAATTTCAACTGGAAAGCAAGCCCCCACAGACAACCCATTGTAAATACTGGATCTTTTCAGAAGTCAATGAGGCCCACTGGAAAAATATAAATTAAGGGCCTTCAAGTACATTCTTCTGGTAATGAATGATGAATTTTCTAAAATTTTTATATTGGATATGTCTTAATTTACAATCATAAAATAGACTATTAAAAACTAGTGAACTAGTTAACATGATTAAAATCCACCTTAATGGAACAGGGTTTTTGAAATAATTTGGAAAGCAAAGTCACTTCCTCCCTTCAGGCCCTTCCCTGATGATCACGGCCAAGGTCATTCCAATAAGGGCTTTCAACTAGAGACCCTGGGCAGAGACTCTAAAGCTTTCGTTCCCCAGAAGAGAACACACATCGCCACAAATGATCCCTTCATCCTCCTCCCACTACCCCAAATCACAGACACTTTCGTCTCCGACTCCTCAGGACTTTTTCTCCTGACTTGGCCTTTCTCAGCTCCTTGGGCTGAGAGTCCTCCTCTGTCACTTCCAAGAGGAAAGAAACAAGGATGGGACCACACTGAGCCCAGGCAGCTGCATGAGGCGCCACAGGAAGGATCTAGAAGCCTGTGTGGACCCAGGTGAAGTGCAAGCTTAGGCTGTCAGGCAGAGAAGGCTCTATTTTCGATCCGAAATCCATAAGGACAGCCCCGTGTGCAGCACGTTGCCTCCCTGAGGCTCACCCCTGGAGTGATCTTCAGCCTTGAGAGCAGTCACTAAGGAGCAAACAAGGCCGGGCCTCTTCCCGGAGGAAGCGCACCGTCTGGATGCTGCATAATCAGTGACGGCCAGAATCAGGAAACGGTAATTCCTTTTTGCCCATGTGTATGCAACAGGCCTGGCTTGCTCTTGTTTGACTTGGAAGGGACCCTGTTTTCCAGTCATCCGAGATGAAAGGCTAGAAACAAAGGCCCAACATCTCATCCACCCCAGGCCCTGTGGATGACCTGGGGGACAGTTCTGGCCCAGAGGCTCTCTGGACACCCTGCAACCTGGCTGGACAATGAGGGCTAATTTCA